CCCAACATTCTGTGATTCTGTGATACTGTTTCAGTCGAAACTGGTATCAGTGACTGTTCATATTTAATTAGACTGGAATCTCTCATTGTTTGCAAAGAAGCAAGACAGAAAAATCTACTTTTATTTTAGTACAGGTTAGGAATGAGGGTTGGGAAGTGAGATAAGGCAACAGAAGTCACTCTACCTGCATATTACCTGAATTCTGCCTGTACCAATTCAGGAATCTAAGCTTAAAATATGCAATTAATTAGTATCTTGTATAGGTGCCTGAAAAAGCACAAAGAATGCTCGTGTGGTTGAGTACTAGGCACACTGTAAGCATCCCCTTTTCAGCTCCTTGACAGCCTGTCAGTTTTGTACTGCCTGGCTGTTTTGTGCTGACAGACTCTTCTCTATCCTCAAACTGGGTACCTTTGGCCCATGTGCTTTCCCAGAGGAAGGCAATCCCAGCGCTGTCTGTGTTCGGATCACACCTCTCATGCTCTGCCAGGCAGTGCTGGGTCTGGCACAAAGCGCAGCATTCATGGCTGCTCTCAATCAGAAAGGCAATGGAGGAAAGAGGAGAGAATGGAGATAACATTACCCACTTCCATGGCAAAATCGGAACTCTTGGTGTTGGCCAGTGTTCAATATCCACTTTATCCTGCTGTAATTCAATCCTAGTTTTCATTTCTCAGGAGGGTGTCCTAACTGCTCCTATGTTCCCTTCATCTATACCAGTGTGTAGAAAGGAATGCAAAATTCCTGGGGCTGAAGAGAGGGAGGGCACAGGCAGATGTGCAGGGTATAGCTCTGCAGGCAGCTGATGAGAGTCTGTGCTGAAGAAAGAGTTCCTGAGAGCTGGCAATTTGGTTTGTGTTTGTTTGGGGATTGTTGGTTTTTTTTCTTTAGACTGCATATGAATTTTGTGTCAAACTGTTTTGTTTAAAAACCAAAGACTTTGCAGTAGGAGTGACAGCTATCACTATAAACAATGTCATTATTAACTGGAAGGTGTCTACAGGCTGAACAAATATCAGGAGTCCAAGGCAACTCTAAAGGAGTGCATGGCTGTGTAAAGGCAGCTAGACAAAGGGAAGAGTTTGAGATCCAAGCAATACATCTTTTTAAAATAACGCTGTGGTTTATGTTTCTTTCTCCCAGCAGCACCCCCATGAACTAACATACAAACTGGCTGTTGTTTTCCACTTGATATTCCTTTTACTTTCTTTAGTACAAGAAATTAGCACCCTAGGAGTCAAGGGAAGAAGGGAAGCAACCATTTGTGAGAAAAGATTAAGAAGATTATAGATGGAAATGAAGAATAGCAGTAGTTTGACTTTTGAAATCACACTGAGTGCAGCTGATAGTTACCTGAGCCTCAGAAACTGGCTATATGTAGTAAGTACCTATGATAGTTACTAAAAACTACAACCTAATTTCTACAAACATCAACTGTGCTTAAGAGTTCTGTGAGAGTTAATTATATAGAAGATTTGAAAATCTTGCATTTTCCTTTTGTTAATATAATTAGGGACCAAAAATGACTGACATGTCAGTGCTGAATTTCTGCAAAATACCATTCATGGCTTCTAAGCTCTTTTAAATGAACTAGTAAATTCTTAAAAATAATTTTGAACTCACAGTAAGTGTTGTAAGTTTATGAAAACTACTGTTTTCATATGTAGTTTTGTGGTGGGTTGACCCTGGCTGGATGCCAGATGCCCACCAAAACCCACTCTATCACCCCCCTCCTCAGCAGGATGGGGGGCGGAGAAAATAAGATGGAACAAAAACCCCTAAACTCGTGGGTTGAGACAAAGGCAGTTCAATAGAAGCAAAGCAAAGCTGCGTGCGCAGAGGCAAAAGAACAAAATATTTATTCTCTACTTCCCATCAGCAGGCGATGTTTGGCCACTTCCCGGGGAGCAGGGTTTGCATACGTGCTGCGGTTCCTGGAGGACAAACGGAAGTAACAAATGCCCCCGCTTCCCCCTCCGTTCTCCTTGCTTTTATTTCTGAGCAGACGTCGTATGGTATGGAATATCCCTTTGGTCCATTTGGGTCAGCTGTCCTGGCTGTGTCCCCTCCCAAGACCTTCCCCACCCCCAGCCTACTGGGGGAAATGTTGGAGAGACAGCGCCGATGCTGCACCAAAACATAATATTAAATCTTTGTGTGTTATGTAAGTGTAGCAAAATAGGTGGCTAAGCACAAGTTCACACACATTGCATCATAACCAGACTGCAACTTCTGTGGCAGCACATGGGTCTTTCTGGAGTGTTCTTTGTAAGGCTTTGCATGTGCCCAATTATAAATTATTTCTGTAAGAATTGAGGAATTCTTGCAGAATTTGTTGCAAGTGTTATGTTTCCCATCTCCTTGTGTGGCAAATTAGAGCTATTGCCTGATGATGAATACAAGCAAGAGAGAGTGCAAAGTACCTTGTGTGCTTGTCCTGGTATTCCCACTGAATAAAAAGAAATGCCAGTCCCAAGGTTTTTGCCTGGTAGATTTTTAGTTAGCAGAGACATGAGAAAGAAAATGGGGAGCAGGCCCAGTGAACTTTCTTGTTTTGCCACAATTTGAAGCGTTGAAACTATGTACTGAGAGTGTCAACAGATCAGCTGGGTTCAGAATGCAGTTGTTGGAGGCTGGGCTTGTAGCCAAACTATGAAGGATCATTTTCAAGACTTAGAAAAGACATTTTAATTAACAGTGTAAGATTTGCACCAGTAATGTATGTTCCAGCTTTTAGTAGAGCAAAGGCAATGCTGATCTGCTACAAAGGTGATATCCCCATCTTTGTGCCAATATTGATTTAGTTCTTTGTGCTCCCAAATGTATGCAAAATAGCTTGTTACTGAAGACATACTTATACTCTGCATAGGCTGCAACTTAATGTGAATTCTTTAGGATTTTTCTAACATCCTGGGGTGTCAGGAGAGGGGCTGTGTGTATGAACACTATCAGGTGTGTGATATAGAAAAAAATAATTGGATATCTTCAAAAAGAATGTCAGAGGGCAACTTTAAAAATTTATTTTATTCCTTCTATTGCTTATAATTAGGAATTCTTAAGGGAGACCTTTTCAGTTTGCCTGTCCATGTAACCCTTCTGCCTCTTTGAAGAATTGCTGCTTCTCCCTGATGGGGAAATCTCTCCTCTCAAGAAAGGAGAAAAAAAAACAAAAAACCCACAAAAAACCTGGAAGGAGAATAGTACATTTTGAAAGAAGCAGAATTTTATGTTATTCCCCAGTGTCTCATCATTCTCTGTCAGCTCGATGTTACATTGACTTTGCTGACAGCTCTTGAAGGAAATCCTTGTCTTCAAGGGGGATTCATATTGGGTGTGCATTATTCCACTAGCCCTAATTACACATGCTCCAGAAATTCATGTTTTGTGACTCTCGTGTGCCAGCCACAAGAGAGAAGGAATATTATTACCCTTTTGACCTCTGTCTGGATGCTGAAGAGATTACACGTGAGTCAGCACGCTTCTTAACATCAGCCAGATGTTAATCTGCACCATACATTGGACAGATCTATGCAATGACACGGCCAGGCATAGTTCCATAAATGGCAGCACTGTGTGCTATTCAACCGTCGTTACAGGGTTGATCTGTAACTGGGTGATGGATTACCTTTGTTTTTGCTGGTCACTTGTTCACTTGTTGCACCTTTCATTGGGGCTATTGTGTTTGAATGTTCTTCCTACTAACTATGCAATGGGTTTTCTCCGTGCAGCTCTTACTTTGGATCACTATTAACACCATTAATGATAGTTTTTCACTGATGAGAGTTCAAGAATAATTAAACTGAAGCTAGTCATCAGTGAACTTGTTCATCCAAGAAATCCTGTCATTCTGATGCAGAAGCTTCTGGTAGCATATGAAATGCACATTACTGATTTTCTTTTTTTTTTTTTTTTTTTTCTAATTCAAGTGTCTTCAAAATCCGTGTAGCACATCCTCACTTCAGGGATTTATTTTTATTAATGTCTTTAACCTAATTTTTATGACCCACTGTGTTGTTTGGCTACCCTTTTTCCCATGGGTATGCAGTCTGCACACAAATAGACTGACTTTACATGTATTTACAAATTGCTTTCTTGTGTATTCACACTGAATAGTGAAAAGGATCTATTGTCTTGTTTTTATGTGTACTTTCATGGTGACAATATTCTAGGTGGTTCTTTATCTTAAATTACTTAAAAGCTGAGTTCTCCTCAATACTAAAATAAATCAGATTATTTCTTTATAATATTTTTTTTCTGTGTGTTTTTTTTTGTTTGTTTGTGTTTTTTTTCAAAAGCAGATTTTTTCAGTGCTAGTGAAAAAGCATAAAATGAACAGCTTTCCAGGTTTAACAGAATAGGCTAAGGACGAGTAGGAAATTAGTTTTGGCAGCATACTGCGATGAATTGGTAATTTGGATTTTGTTCCCCTTTTGTCTGGGACAGCTCCACTGCTGAGGCTGGAAGTAGGAGGCTGGCTGTTTACCATTTTGTTGTTTTCCAGAGAACTTACTGAGCAAGTGATGTTTTTCCAAGCAAGCCTGAATTTTTATAGTCAAGCCTGGGCTCTGACACAGATTTTTCATGTTAGCCTTAGTCTTATTGCTGTGATCCAAGAGGCCAGTTGCAGATATTTTTAAAGCAATTGTGTTGCTAACTTTCAATCTACAAAGATGTTTGAGGAAACTATCTTCTTACTTTACTGGTATTATACCAGTCCATGGATGTGATGTACTGTCTTAACATATTTGCCAGAGCTTTTAACATGTACACACACAAACATCTATGGAGATCAGTATCATGCTGTCTTCAGAAGCTCAACCAGAGCTGCTAGTGTTTTGATCTGACTTGTTTTGCCTGAGTACTGAGCTCCTTCAGTCTCATGAAATAGGTCTTATTGGTTTTTTGGGGCAATACTGGTGAGAAGAGGGTGCTGCATTATAATAGAAATTCCTGTGGATGCATTTTGGAGAGAGGTTATGAAGTAATAGATAGTATATTGTCAGAACATTCTCAAGCAAGCAAGTTCTTATAGGCTTGGAAACAAAACAAAACTTCTTCCTGGGTTTTCACAGGAAGGTCTTGCTTGAAATTCAGCCTTACAACTTCGTCCATTCTTTGGGAGTGCTTTACATCTTGATAATTAGAATATATTCATATTATATTAATTGTTCCATCTTGTTTTTCATAAGGTTGATTTCTGGAAAAGTGATCTGTTTTGGACGTAGAATAACTAGAGTTGTTTAATGGTCATTCCCCTTAAAGCTTGTTTATGGTACAGTTTGATTTTATGCTATATGTGTAATATTTTCCCTCTCCCTCCATTGCAGATTATCCAACAATACTAAAGGTTGATGACAGGCAACGACTTGCTAGAGAACGGAGAGAAGAAAGAGAAAAACAGCTAGGTAAGGCCTACTGTCTCTTTATTTTTTAATTATTATTATTGTTTGGGGTTTTTTAATCGACTATCATTTGTGTGTAGAGTTTTTGCCAGTTTGCTTTTAGGAGCCTTCAGCAAACTATTTGTGCTAGATATGCAATAATGTCATTCTAGATACACTATTACATCATTAAAGTAAGTCTTAATTCATGCACATGTTAGGATTCATTATTGCTATACCTGTCATATACCTATTACTTACCGTTGTGTATCTGAATGAAAACTGAGTTGATTTCTGATATCATGCAAGGAATTTTCACTGATGTGGATCACAGAATGGTCTGGGTTGGAAGGGACCTTAAAGATCATCTGGTTCCAACCCCCCTGCCATCA